GTCCTGTAAAGTTTGTATTGAGAAGTTTCCTGTAATTCTAATGAGTTTACCTCTACAGTAAGTCCCTGACTTAACTAACATGGAACACTCAAGTTACAAACTTTCAGATACAAACACATCACAGAAGTAGCTCACCTGTCTGCCAGACATTATCACAGCTGTACCGCTGTGTGCTTACTGTACATTTCAAGGTAACTGTAAAAGGTTTATTTACATTATGTTTGTGTTTGGTTTTTTATGCTTTACACTGTGTATTTGTGTCAAAGGTATATACGACTCACTCTACTGGACTTATGAACAAATACAACTTACAAACGTTCTCCCGGAAAAGAACTCTTCATATGTCAGGGATTTATTGCATAAGTGATTTGTTACTTTTCTCTAATACCTATTAAGATTCTCTTCTTGTGTTAGACTTTCTGGATTTTAAAAATGATGTGCTGTGGAGAGGTTCTTTCCTGACTGTATCTATCTGGGGTTTCTATATGTTTCACTTATCAGAATGTTGAATTCTCTCCCCATACTAGGAAAGTTTTCTGCTATTAGTTCCTTAAGTAGGTGTTTTCTTTTTTTTTTTTTTAAGTAGGTGTTTTCATGCCATTTGCACTATCTTCTAATTTTCCATACCCAATTAATGTCAGATTAGATTTCTTTGTATCATCTAGCATCCCTTGCATCCATTTTTCATGTTCTATTGTTTTCAGGTATTATTCCATAACTTGTCACTGAGAGCCTTACCTTCCAGTTCTGACATTCTGTCCTTGCAGTCCTCACTTCTGCTACCCATACTTTTTTTTTGTGGTGGCGGGGGCACGGGGTGTTTTACCAGGAACTGAACTCAGGACCTTGCGCTTGCCAGGCAGGTGCTTGTGCCACTGAGCTATATCCCCAGCCCCATACTTCCAAAATAATGTTTATCCCCTGAATTTCTGTTTGGTACTTTTTCATGGTCTCAAATTATTTGCTGAAATGGTCATTCATGTTTGGTGTCCTTTTATTTAGCTCATTTAGCATTTTATTAGTGGCTTCTGTAAACTTGCTGATCATTTTCCTTATTATGTCCATTATCTATCTAGTTAAATCTTCTCTGAGCTCACTGAACACCTTATTTTTTTATTTTAATTTTTTTGGCCTTTTATCATTTGAAAAATTTAGCTGTGTGATTTTTTTATTTCTTCTCTTTCGATGTGTTGTGGATTAGTTTTGGAGTCTGGGCATGGCTAAGTAGGTCATTCCCAAAATCCAACCTCTTCTGTTAATTTAGGAGAGGAGACTGTAGTATAGTTAATCCAAGACACGTTTCTCCAGGAATGGGCCACAGTACTGTCAATGCCACAATGGCAATCCAGATAATGGCATACAGTGGGAACCAATTAATATCAGCAACTATGTCACCGTGGCAACAGCAATAAAATGAAGCAACAAGAAGAGAATCAAAGACAAACTAGACACTGACATGCCCTAAGAACCAGTAATGTAGCACCTTTAATCAAAGAAAAGTATAAACACTAAAACAAAGTAATAACATAAAGATTTACTAAATACAAGTATCCCTTCACAACAATAGAAAAGTATTTAACAGTAATATTACAGAGTCAACTATCTGAAGATTAATAAAGCTTAATGGTTGTACTAGTAAGGACGGAGGAGGAAGGGAAAGCAAAATGAAAGAAGTACAATTTCAAAAATTACTCAATACAAGATAAGACAGATGACAAAAAAGTGATCTAAAGGATACTATTAAGGAGCAAAAGGAAATTGACAACATTAGATAAAAGTAACAAATGAATGAACAAAAAGAAAAAACAAAACAAAGGGAAAAAAGCTGGGAATGGTGACGCATGCCTGTCATCCCAGCACTCAGGAGGCTGAGGCAAGAGGATTGTTCCAGTCCAAAGCCAGCCTGAACTACATAGTAAGACCCTACCACAAAAAAAAAAGGGGGAAAAGAGAAAGAGAAAAAATTGAGTGAGAAACAAAAAGGGAAAAAAAACCAAACCCAATAAAAGCAATGAATGAAGAAGTTTTTTAAAAAGTCCTCTGTATTTTTAAATGAGTGTATTGTAAATGATGCTTTCCAGATCTGCTCACATGGCAGAGGGGAAAGCAATGAGACCAATGGTCTCTGCTGGATGTAGGCAACAGGACAGGAGTTCAAAGCAGGACTTCAGGCCTATACTTTCAGATCCAGCTGCTTTTGAGACTCACGTTTCCAAGACTCGGCTTCTTGCAACACCTGTGTCTTTCCCATCCTTAGTTTGAACTTCTCCCTGGGTCTAAGTCCATCCCACATAGACTCTGCAGTCATTTCTTGTGGCTGCTGCTCATTTAGTCACTGTGGTAGAGTAATACTAGAGACCCTAAACTTAAATTGTTCCACAATGGTACCCAAAGTAGCTCTGGATTAAACGCTCCCCAATATGGCAGGCACTGTACTGGATTTCTTCGCCAACTCTAGCCTGCTGTGAAGGACTCACATTTTTTTTTCTTTTTTGAGGCCGGGTCTCACTGCGTGGCCCAGGCTGGCCTTGAACTCACAGCAATCCTCCTGTCCCAGCCTCCCAAATGCTGAGATTACAGGCATGCACTACCACACCCAGCAGCAGTCACTTTTGAAGCAAAATCCCATGCTGGTTACAATAGCCTTGGGGCTTCCTTGGGGCTAGCACTGTTTTTCCTGGTCTATTATTTCTCCCAGCAGCAGTGGAGTTCCCCAGGCCTACCTTTTTTCCTGGGGCATTGGCCTCATTCACAAACAGGCTGTTCAGTGACTTTACTGCCCCAAGCCAAAGTGAAACAAAACACTTTGGTTAAAGTTGGTGGACAGCTATAGCCAGGATGTGGAATCTACAAATGCAGAGTTGGCTGGGAACAAAGGCAGCTCTGTTCAATGCTTCTGCCCAATACCTCATTTTTTCAATTTATTATTTCATTAATTTCTGCTCTAACCTTTGTATTTTTCTTGCTTCTGCTAACTTTGGGTTTACTGCTTTCTTTTTCTACTTTCGTGACATGTAAAGGGAGGTGGTTTGAGGTCTTTCTCCATTTTTAACATAGGTATTACCAATGATTAGTATTATCTTGGTATTGTTCTTCTGTATCCCATATGTATATTGCTTTCATTTTCATTTATCTTGAGCTATTTTCTAATTTACATTCTCTTTTTGTAGACAGGGTCTCAGTATGTTGCCCAGGCTTGCCTGAACTTTCCGCAATCCCCCTGCCTCAGTTTCCCAAATGCTGGGGATTACAGGCATGCACCACCACGGCCAGCTAATTTGCTTTTTGAATTATTTCTTTTTTGACCAACCTTTGACCAATTGGTTGTTCAGGAGTCATAGTAATAAACTGCAGTACTTCTTTATATCCATTAGCTTTTAAATGAGCACTGTTCTCAAAAGGATTGTTTTACAAAACTGAACATATTCAAGTATTTAAGAAAGTCTTTCAATAATAGCTGGAAAATTCTCCAAAAAATGCACATCTCTAAAATCAAAATACTGTGTTGTACATTTAATATAGGATTAGGTAATACAGCCAGACTTCTTGAGTATCTGTGTCCAGCAGACAATACATGGAATTCCTTTGTAACACATTTGCTTATGCTTATGTCAGCTATCCCACTAGCCCATGAACTTTGCTCCTCCACTCTTTTCCTGGTGGCAATGGAGATCAAACCCAGGGCCTTGCACACATGAAGCAAGCATTTTCTATAAACTTTTTTCATCAAGTGTCCAAATCACTGAAAATTTTGTAACATATCCTCAATAATTAAATGTGTATCATATACCAATATATGCACTTACATATTTATTATATACCTACTTCTTTATCAATGATTACAGTATATATGTTACAGAAATGTGTAAGAACTTCTATCAAAACTTCTTATAAACAAAGTTATATTCTTGTAAATTTTCAGAAGTTTGGAGTAAAACTTCTCATTTTGTCTTGATATACTAACAATAAACACACTCCTTTAGGAGTGCAAACTGGTCTGGGGACAGAGGAATTTGCATGGTAATACACTCTGAAATATAAGTTCACCATGATGTTTGGTTTTCTTATAAATACATCGTGTGCATTTGCTAACTTTCATGTAGGCTATAGGAACAAATAACAACTAACAGCAAAATAATACCTACTCTTAAAAAACAATAGTAATACCTACTCTATAGACATATCCTATGTCCTCAAAAAAATACATACACTAACATTACATTTTAGTAATCTTCATAAGATTTTAGGGTTCTCTGGATAAGCCTACTTAGGAAGAATTGTGAATTTTTTATTTGTTTTGTTTTATTTTGTATGGGACATGGTCTTATAATGTAGTTCAGGTTGAATCTGAAATACCTTCTGTAGCTCAAGCTGGCCTCGAACTCTCAGCGACCCTTCCACCTCAGCCTCCCAAGTGCTGGGATTAGTCATGTACCACCACACCTGGCTAAAATTTGTATTTTTAGAAGTACTGAAGACTTCATTAATTTTTTTCACAAAGTGTGTTTTTTTCCCTCTGTATTATGCTGACCACATTGCTATTAATTATTAAGTAGATAGAGAAAAACAGAGAATCTCAAACTTGAAAATAAACATATTGAGATGACATTTTAAAAACCAAGTACTTCTCATTATGCAAGCATGCAATGGTGTACCCTCAGTCATCTGGAAAACAGTATCAAATTACTAATTCAGAAAATCAGTAGGTCACCCATAGTTTACAACAATAACTGTGAAAACTGAAACAATGAATAATCATAACTGAAGGCAATTGCTTATCCGTTCTATTAATGCCCCTATACATAAAATTAAATACTGGTAAGCTTTAAAGATAATTTTTAAAAAATACAGACTTTTTGTCAGGGAAAAATAACAGGAAAGAATACATTGTCCTCTTCTCACAATAAAAATATCTACTTTACATTTACTTTCTAATTTGATCAGGAATCAAAAGTAAAATTTTAAAGTAAAATAATCGCAACAGATGACACATTCATTACCTTTAAGAGGGCTAGTTTGCACTCAACACTCATTTCAAGATAGCCCTTCTTCTCCATCTCCCAGGCCCAGGTGCTATTAAACTCTTGGCATATCTGTTAGAGAAAATTAATATCTTAATGTATGAGAGCAGTTTGATGGACACTGGCAGTCTCTTATGATTATGTTAAGTACTTCTGTTAGTATACACATATAAAAGGAACAGTTTACACTAAATCCAATCCAGTTCCACCCTGAAAGCTATGCTACTGAAATCCATCAGGTGTTCTCTGATAACTGAATTTAAAGTAAGACATAATCTCTATAATACTGTCTTTGTCCACAACAACTTTATACAAGCATTTGAACACATTTTTCTACATGGTGATAATTGTTTGATCCTATCTCCGCAAATGGCTGACATTCCCTGTGGGCAACGACTAGTTTGTTCATCTTTATGCTTGGAACAGAAGTATGCCCACTTATATTTTTTGTCGGGGAGGGGTGCAGTGCTGAAGATCAAATCTAGGCAAGCACTGTACCACTGATCTACATCACCTCCAACTCATACAACACACTAATGTCCTACTTTTTTAGTATGAGTACACTAAAAATTTCACTGCTGAGCACTTGCTACCTTAGATAATAATATGCTTTAATGTAAATCTCTCAGGATTCTCTCCCTACCTAAGCACTGCAACCAAATCAGAGACACTGTAGAAGTAAAATAGTAAATAAATGCTACAGTCAAAAGTCAGTATAAGGGTCAGGCATGGTGGTTTATGCCTATACCAGCATGGAAGAGTCTGAGGCAGGAGGATCTCTGTGAATTCAAAGCCAGCCTAGACTATATAGTGAATTCAAGGCCAGCCTGAGCTATAGAGTGAGACTCTGTCTCAAAAAAAAAAAAAAAAAAAAAGGTCAGTATAAAAGAATAATATACTGATCTCAGAAGCTGTTGAATGGGAATAACAAATGACTCAAATGAAGAGAGGTGACAGGGAAAGTTAGGCCATTAGGACACAGGTCCTGAACAGTTAACCTAAAGTAAACTCAAAGTCAGGACTTAAATGAGTTAGCATACCACAGGACCTGAATAATTAAAGAAACTGACTATCAGGGCCTAGCAGAATGTAAAGGACTAAAAACAGGTCCTCAACTAAATGAGAGAGACCTTGGAGGAAGAAAACTGTAAACAAAGTAGCTCCCATTCCAAACAAAGGCCTACTTGCGCCTGGAAGCATTCCTAAACAGCTACGATTTTTCCACTTTATGAAAACCCCTCCCCAACAAGCAGGGAGAACCTTTCTTCCTTGTGCCATTGAGCTATATCCCCAGCCCTTATTTTTTCTAATAAACACAAATTTGGCCATTCCCTACTGCTTGCTGCTTTGTGGGCTTCAATCTTCTTTGCCCCACAACAAGGACCCAAGAGCTAGAGGGAGCTGGTTACACAAAGATGCCTGCAATTTCACGCTACTTTTGTAACTGAAGGAGCAAAGAGAAAAATGAAAGCAAAGGGAGATAAACAGGTTAAGAGATTATCCTGAGGCATGAACAACTGGCTAGGAAGGCAGGGAGGTGAAAAAAGAAGGAGGAAAGAAGAATCGCTGAGATGACCAATCTGAACCAGAGGTTACCCTTTGCCTCACCCGCCCTAGTTTCACTACTAACATCTTTTTACAACTGGTACCAAAAAATGAATAAATGAATGATTCAGGCAATTAATCACAGGTCAGTATTAGGAAGAAAAAGAATACAGGACAAGCAGTATAGATAAAAATTATACAGTGGACGCTCTTCTAAGGCTTACAGAACAATGAATTCCCCGTTCCCTGGAAAGCCACCGTACTTACTCTCATTGACACTACTGTAGTTTAGAGAATTAAAAAGAAAATGAGACATACAAAGGGAGAGGAAATTTTCAGAGTATTACTGTGTACACTTTCACCCTAAGAAACCATACCAAATATTAAAAGGTCAGGATCTGAAGAGACATTTCACCCCAATGTTATAGGCAGCTGAGTTAAATAGAAATATTATAGGCAGTCAGACATGCTCTCGAAGGAGCCAAATGAAAGACAAGTTAAGATACCTATGGGCCAGACCTCAAGATAAAAGGACTAAACAAATGCACCCATGAACCTCCTAGGTGCGAGCATCAGGAATTGGTATTCTAAATAGGTAACAACCACCTTCAAAAAGTCAGAGAGAGTCACTAGCCCAACCCCCTACAGGAAAAGCCCCTGTTCTGTATTATGCCCGCTTGCTATGTGACTCGCTTCCTCCTTTGATCCCAGTTTACTCAATTTTACCTGAACTATTACACTTGTAATCTTACTGGCACTGTAATCTTACATGGTTTTGTCCCACCTCATGCCTATCTTGTAATTCCCATTTTCCTCCTATCTTGGATCCACCTCATCTTGGGGTTTTGCTCTATAAAGTCCCTGGAGGGGCAAGGTCCTTGGCAACCCACTGGGGTCCTTTATAGAAATAATTTATTATCACTTAATAATTATACCCCAGGTCTGTATTATATCAGGTATTATATAAACTGAGATGACTTGTTCTACAGCCATTCTACAGAGAGGGGTGGAGGAACCCCTCTCTTGGACAGAAGTTTTTTTTCCCTCAATAAATATATTCTGCTCTTAACCTCCGTTGTTCCTAAAATTCATTCTGATTTTACAGAACACAAACTCGTCCTAGATATCACTCAGGTTTGGACTTTTTATTCTCCTGTATCACCAATGAGAAAATAATGTTGGTGATTATAGGGGGAAACGTGAAACACTCATAGACTGCCAGGGGAAAAGGTAAAATACTAAAGCTGCTATGGGAAAAGAGTTCCACAAACTCTTAAATTCATGCTGTTTCAACATGATTTAGCAATTCCATCCTAGGTATTACACAAGAAAAATGAAAACATAAAAACAGTAACAGTATTAATCACCATAGGCAAAGGGTAGAAACAATCCCAATGTCCACTAATAGATGAGTAGATACACAAACCATACAGCCATATAATGGAATTTATGTCCCCAAAACAGAGAATGAAGTGGGGCTAGAGATACAGCTCAGGGGCAGATGCCTGTCTAGCCAGTTTGAGGAATGGAGTTCTCCCCCAGCACTAGAGGAACAGAGGGCAGAGTAACGATATACACTGTAACAAGCAAGAACCTCGGGAACATGTTAGCAGAGGAAACCAGACACAGGAGGTCACATACTGCATGATTCTAATATGCGGAATTGTGGGTGATCATCTCCCAACAGAAGAGGCTATGGAGGAGATCTCTGTCCTCAGGAGAAAAAGGTGGAGGAACCCCTCACTTCAAATGAGATTAGGGAGATGTGAAATGTGGGAAACAGTACAAAATTTCATAGACAAGCACAACCTGATAAGGCTGTAGCAGTGTGAGTAATGAATCTGTTTAAATGACACTGCATTACCACATTTCCACAAAATCCTCAAAAGGAGGCAAAAAGCAAGTGTCACTGGATAGGTTCCTTGTTAAAGCTGCACGAAAAGAGAAAGATTCCACTGAGGCAATAGACAGCAGTAATTCCACTAATAACGCTGACAGTCACCCTACACAGTAACCCTCTACTCTCTTGTCTCCTTCACACCAGTCATGAAGCTTTTCAAAGGAAAGTACAGGTTAATTTGTTTTTCTTTACATTTTATACTCTTTATTATTTTGCATTATATTACAGCGCTGTAATAATTTTAAATGAATATTTGAGGGCTGTAGAACAAGTCATCTCAGTTTATATAATACCTGATATAATACAGACCTGGGGTATAATTATTAAATGATAATGAATTATTTCTATAAATTTATTAGTCAGTCAGATTTTCTAGTAAGAATTTAAAAGTCTCTACAAATTTTACTTACACTTGCCCAGGCTATATAATGAATTCTCCTTTAGCCATTCTGATCTCTGCATTATGAAAAGCACTACCGATATCAGCACCTTCACAATCTAATCACCCCCTGCCTTCTACAACTTATGAACCAACAGAACTACCATAAAAGATAATAAACCAGACCAAGGCAGTTCTAGCCCTGTTCATCCTTTTTCTTTCTGGCCATTCAGCTAACGAACACTATTTTGGTCAGTTGCTTTCCAGGGTTTCAAATTTCATAAAGGATACAACTAAGAGAAATAAATAGTGTATGTGCCCTATGGACCAGATACCAATAAACTTTTTCTGGAGAGGACCCAAGTTAAATATTTTGGGCATTAAGAGTCATATATTCTCTGCTAAAACTACTCAAGCTGGCACTGTAACATGAAAGCAGGTATCTGCAAACAAACAGACTTCCGTTGTGTTCCAACAAACTTATTTTTTAAAAAAGCAGGATCCAGGCCTGGACCTCCCAGAACTTGGAAAGCTAAGGCAGGAAGATGGACTTGAGTTTGGGGGCTGCCAGCCTGAACTACAAAGTAAGACCCTGTCTCAAAAAAGCAAAACAGGAACAGGCCTGTTGCTGGATGTGATTGTAGTTTGCAGATTCCTGCTCTGGAACATCAGTATAAACTGCCCACTGTTGGTGATTTAGAGAGGAAAATGGTATTTAATATGTGAATAATTATAATTGCCCCTTTTTAAACAGCCTACAATATTCCTTTAAACAACTCCTCTTGTTATCATGAAGAAAACTTCGCTGCTTTTCAAGCTACAAAATCAGAAAGATGTGAGCTGCTAACTTGGCTTTGTGTATCTTTTCCAAAATTACTTAGTAATAATTACTCATTCAAAAATAATTACCAAGTCCCTACATGCTAAGCACGGTGCCAGGCATGGTAATACTTGGGGTCAGTAAACATTTTCTAAAAGGGTCAGTAAAAAAAAGGGCCAGTAAACGTTTTCTGAAAGGGACAGTAAAAAACCTTTCAGTGTCAACAGATGAAATCAAGGTCATTATATAAGTACTTACATAAGAAAGAACATATTTCCACAACTGGTATTGTGTATTTATTTTGTGTTTGTTTTGTTTTGAGACAGGATCTTACTCTGCCTCCTAAGGTCTGGGATTACTGATAGTGATTTTTTTTGTTTTGTTTTTGTTTGTAGACATTTGCACCAAGTTGTCTAAGTTGGTCTGGA